GTATGTTCAAATCCATATGTCCTAGATCATCATCATCATCATCATCATGTGCTGAGTTTTAAAAAAAAGCATAGGCGTTTATATTGTTTCATAGATCTTATTTGTTTTCTGGATTAAGTCTGGTGCACATATTCTTCAGTCCCATGGTCTTACATCATTCGGAATCTTGTATCTATGTTTTTGTCTCTTCTAACACTGGTTTCGTCGGTTGTCACCCTTTTTCTTTTCTTCCTCCAGTTTCCTTGTCTAAGTGTGTTCGTGTGGGTAAGCGTGTAGGTAGGCAGGAAGGTAGATAGATAGGTAGGCAGGTAGGTAGATAGGTAGGTAGATAGATATGTAGGTAGATATATAGGTAGATAGATAAGTCGGTAGGTAGATACGAAGAAGTGTTTCTGCCTGCTTTTCTTATGCCTTGTATAAACTTATCTTTATTTCTGTAAGGCGTTTCTTGGTAACGCAGTTCAGTCCTTTGCGTTGTCTTTCTTTTCTTCTGTGTTGATTAGTTTTTTTAACAGCTTTACTCTGAGTGTCAGTTGGTACTATGCAACTCTCGTCAAATTACTAAATCGTCTACTGTTTCTCCTTAATGACTAAGTCTTCTCCAATTTTCTAATTTTTTTTTTCAATTGTATATCTTTTCGTAACTCTGGCAGCTTTTCTAAGATACCTCATCTTAGTAGTTTTTTTTTAAATTTTAATTGCATCTCCTTTCATTAAGGATCTATGTTTGACACCTGTAGCATAAACTTGCCAAAAAATATAGGTAACTACAGATCGCAGTAGAAAAAGGTGTGCGGATACAGGTTCTATTATTAACCCAGAACAGGCAGCAGTATTGTGGTGTTTGCTAAATTATCGAATTGCTAGGAACGAGATTCTGCAAATTACAGTAAATGAAAGTAACATTAACAGAGAGCATTCACTAAAATATCTTGGAATCACTTTTCATAGAAGTCCGCCTTTCAACTACAGGTGACAGGGGTGGTGTTAAAACTAGGAAAGGATTGAAAACATTGAAAGCGATGGCATCAGCTGATATATAATACAGCATGCTCTACAGTTTACCAGCAGCTGATTATTTCGGTGATGGAGTATGGTTTATCTTATGTCATCGCAATCGACGTCACTCCAGGTTGAGCATCCCCACCCACCCTTTCCTTTCTTTATTTTAAAATATATGTACTACCATGGATGTCCTGGGAAAGTAAATACGGCCGGCCTAATTCTGGCCACATTACACACCTAGTGCCGATTAGTCTGTAATAATATGGGGTGCTCTTCCCATATGCCCGATGAGCCTATGGCCCGAACCGGGATCTTTACTATATTTGGGCGAGGTTACTATTGGTCTTCCGTACTCTTCATCTGTCTTATAGAAACAAACTACAAGTTTCTCGTTCTGAAGACACTGCCACTTTTATTATATATATATATATATATATATATATATATATATATATATATATATATATATATATATATATATACATACATATAATATATAAAATACTGAAGATGAAAGTAATCAGTTCTCTTTTTCAATAATTCTTATGCATGAAATCTTAATACGTTGTCCAACGGTTTTTAAAACCATATCTCGGAAGCTTCCATATAATTTCCTACAAATTTCTTGGATCTCTGTGATTAAGTGCCCTTTGTTAGATTGGCTGTCGTGAACCTGTGGATAACAAATCTCAAGAAAGGCAAGTCGGATGTACAGTCAGACTGCTAGTGATACCCTCGTAACAGGGACCTTGCTGTCTGTTAAAGATTTAAACAAAGCGTTTATGGGAATGCCCCAGTTGCTGCCATTTCGGCTCTTAACTCATTTCAACCCTCCCTGCAAATAAGAGGAAGCTGCCTGATCTTGTGACATAGCGTCCTCTTCGAGTGCTAGAGGTTCCGTGTTCAGTCCCCTGCAAGAGCTGGGATTTTTTCACATGCACAGATAAGTCTCTTCTTCTTCTTCTGCCTTTCTATCCCCCAATGGAGCATAGGCCCTCAACTAATTCACGCCAAGTCGTTCTATCCTTCGCCATTGCATGGAGCTCTCTCCATGTCCTCCCCATCTTTCTAACTTCATTCTCCAGCTCTCTTCTCCATGTGTTTTTTGGCCTTCTTTTATTCCTATGCCCATGTGTGTTCCAATGCAAAGACATTCTAGTTATGCTGTTCTCCTGTTTTCTCAGTGTGTGTCCTATCCAACGCCAGCGTCTTTTCTTCACCTCTTGGTCCACTGGGGCATGTTTAGTTTTCTCCCAAAGTTCTACATTAGTTATTCTATCATACCATTTAATTCCCTCTATTCTGCGCAGGCACCAGTTAATTAATGTCTGTAATTTATTAGTAAATGCCTTGGCTGGATTGGCTTTTTACCCCACCAGGACATCACACAAGCGATAAACACCCGATGACACAAAGTGCCACCATGCGGATGAGGATCACCGTGGAGAGGTCCCAGAAACCGCGTTCAGACATTTGGCCATAATGATGACCTGCCTATATTGCGGCCCCTGGCAAAAGCCAGAGTGGGGCTTCAAATAACAAAAATTAACGTCCTAAGAAGGACGTAAGGTATTAGTATTAGTAAATGCCTTGGTTGTTCTCCATGTTTCCGCCCCATACAATAGTACTGATTGGACATTACAATTAAAAATTTTTTAGTTCACTGTTTCTTTTAATTTCTTTTGACCTCCACAAATTCCGTAGTGCTATGAAAGCCCCTCTTGCCTTTTGTATTTATATTTTAACATCTCTATCAGTTCCTCCATCTTTATCTACATTACTGCCTAAATAGGTGTACGACTTCGCGTCTTGGAGTGGGGTGCCATTAAGAGAAACCACACTACTATTGGCCTGATTTATTCTCATTATCTTTGTTTTTCCTTTATGGATTTTCAGACCAAGCTGCTGTGATCTCGCATCAAGTATATTTAATTTATCCGGCATCTGATTCCATGAATGGGACAGAAAAGCAATATCATCAGCGAAGTCCAGATCATCAAGCTGTTTTATAGGGGTCCACTGAATTCCATTCTTGATGTTAGCAGTTACTGTTTTCACAGTCCAGTCAATAGCCAGTAAAAATAAGAGAGGCGACAAAAGTCATCCCTGTCGCACACCTGTTTTTATTTCAAATGCATCTGCTAGCTTTCCCTCATGAAGAACTTGATATTTCATGTCTTTATATGTTGCCTTTACTAAATTGATAATTGTCTGTGGGATTCCATAGTGCCCCATCAATTTCCAGAGAGATTCCCTATCAATGCTGTCAAATGCTTTTTCAAAGTCTATAAATCCAATGTAAAGTGGTGAGTTCGGTTCAATGCTTTGCTCTATTATAATACGTAATGTGGCTATCTGGTGAGTACAGGATCTGTTTTACCGAAAACCTGCCTGCTCATCTCTTAGCTTTTTATCAATAGCATCTTTTAATCTTTCCAAAGTAATTCTACTTAATATTTTTTCAGGAACTGACAGCAACACAATTCCTCTATAGTTTTCACACTCCTGTAGATCATCTTTTTATGCAGTTTCACAAGATATCCTTCTCTCCAGTCTGCTGGTAATTCTTCTGTCTTCCAGACTTTACTGAATAATCTATGTAGCAATTCTGTTGATGTGTTTATGTTGGCCCTAATGGTTTCAGCTGGGATACCATATGGGCCTGTCGCCTTTCCTTCCTTGCGAAGATTTATAGCTTTTCTAATTTCCTCTTTGGATGGTATCTCACAGTTGATATCCAGTTCCATTTCTAAAGGTTGGATATCTGTGGGAACCTCTGGGCCTGGTCTATTTAGAAGCATTTCAAAATATTCAATCCGTCTGTTTATTTGATCTTTAGTGTTAGTAAGTACCTTTCCTTGACCATTTTTGATTGATCCAGTTGGCTGACTATATTTACCTACTAATTTTCTTGTGTTACTGTAAAGTTCTCCGAGGTTTCCTTTTGCTGCTGCTGTCTCCGCTTCTTGTGTCTTCATTTAGATATTTCACTTTATCTGCCCTTATATGCCTCCTAACTTCCTTGTTGGCTTCTGTGTATTTCTCCTGAGCTCTAGCTTTAGCAGCTCTAGTTTTGCTATTGTTTAAGTCTGCCTTTTTACTTTTCCTGTCTTCAATCAGTTTAATGGTTTCTGGTGTTATCCATGCTTTATGTTTCCTTTCTTTCTTGCCAAAAACTTCTACGCAAAATTCATTCCAGATTCCTTTGATCTGATCCCAGCAGACTTCTGTGCTGACATATTCAGCTAACTGCTGCAACACCTGGTACTTATTAGAGACCGTAACTGAGAACTGTTTCTTAACTTCTTTATCCCCGAGAAAGCCTACATTATATTGGTTTTTATGATTATAAGATGTTATACATCTTTTTAGTTTCAACTTAATTTTACTTACCACCAGGAAATGGTCAGTAAATACATCAGCACCTCTGAAAGCCCTAACATCGTAAAGGGATGATCTAAACTTTTTATTAATACATATGTGGTCAATTTGATTAGTTGTCTTATGGTCTGGTGATTTCCATGTTGCCTTGTGTATTCTTTTATGGGGAAAAATACTTCCACCAATAACATACTGGCTTCCTGCACAAAAATATGTGAACAATTATCCATTTTCATTCATTACTCCTAGACCATGTCTTCCCATAATTTTTTCATAACCTGTGTTGTCTGATCCTATCTTCTTCTTCTTCTTCTTCTTCTTCTGCCTTTCTATCCCCCAATGGAGCATAGGCCCTCAACCAACTCACGCCAAGTCGTTCTATCCTTCGCCATTGCATGGAGCTCTCCCCATGTCCTCCCAATCTTTCTAACCTCGTTCTCCAGCTCTCTTCTCCGTGTGTTTTTTTTTTTTGGCCTTCCTTTATTCCTATGCCCCTGTGGGTTCCAATGCAAAGACATTCTAGTAATGCTGTTCTCCTGTTTTCTCAGTGTGTGCCCTATTCAACGCCAGCGTCTTTTCCTCACTTCCTGATCCACTGGAGCCTGTTTAGTTCT